ATCGCGTCTACCATGCTCCCACACTTCGCGTAGAGGTTGATAATACTGCTCGCAACATAAACTTGGTTTGTCCTGTCCAGCTCGTACAGCCTGAGAGTGGATCGCCATAGCTTGCTCCATTCCCTTGAGCTTGACCAACTTCCCATCGACTTTAACACCGTCTTCTTTTGAAACCAAGCTGGTGCAAGCTGTAAGAGCAGCAACAAGTGTCCGAGAGTCCGGTAGACAATGCTGGTGCTGCTGGACCATCCACCAGAATAGTTCCAATCCCAGTTCCTCCTCTCCGTTCTCAACATATCCAGCTATCAATGCGTTCCAAGACACCACAGTGTGCTGCGGAGCCCGATCAAAAACCATCCTTGCGTCGACCAAGCTTCCACACTTGGCATACATGCTGATGAGTGTATTCGCCAGCGAAACAATGGATTCGTCGTAACCAGCTTGGAGAGCACGGGAGTGAAGTGCCATTCCCGTTTCCAAGAACTGGAGCTTGTCTTGGTTGAGCTGGTGACCGTCGTCCGAAGCAGCCGTAGCCAAGTTCGCGCAAGCAACCAGCGCCGCAACAAAGCTCAAAGCATCTGGAGCAGCAATTCTCGTGAAAACCTCCAAAGCCACAGCATTCTTCCCAATTTCCACATACCCAAGAACTAGCGCTGTCCACGAGACGACGTTCTGACAAGGCATCCGGTCGAAGACGGCACAGGCATCGATCATGCTCCTGCATTTGGCGAACATATCCACCAGGCTGGTCGCCAAGTAGATGTTCGATCCATCACACGCCTGTGTGTGGATTTTCCTGGCGATCTCGAGATCTCTGGAGCAGCTGCACGCCTTAGATGCGACCAGCAGCTCCGGAATCCCAGGTGCGTTCTGCAATGCGTGATTATCCCCATCCCTAGCGGCCTCATTGCCGGAGTACTTGAGGAACGATCTCAGCCTCGAGAGAGCGTACCACTGGACAGAAAAGCGACAGATCAAGAGCGCAGAGCACAGATTTCACTCACATCGTATCGCTGGATCCAAAATTCCGCCCCGAATCGCGTTGCTGTCGCCGAGCATTTCAGCCAAACCATTCACTTCCATGTGCCCTAAGATTTATGTCCCAAGAGCCCTAATGTTTCAAATTTATTTCCCGCCAGCTTAACTCCACGTGGCAAAATCTTGGCCGCAGGGATTTTTGGAGCGGCATGCAAGCATATTCCTCGAAAATTTTAATAGTCGTTTTTTATTTTCTGGACAGCTAGGTACGATCGTAGAGACTCAG